ATTCCATTTCGTGGGGGTCGCCTTACACTACGCCTACCGGTACGAGGCTGCCACTCGAGAACATTTTTTCACTTTTTGAAGTATACACTAAAGTAATACATCTACTATTGTGTATACTTTTCACATTTCCAAAAACAACGGTTTAGTTAATACAAACACACACATGACTCATGTCGGGACACATGATTCTAATAAAAATTCCATTTTATAGTTAAATATTTCGCAAACGGACTGAATCAAAAATATTTAATTCCATACCCCCAGTTGAAAGATCTATAAAACGTCACTCCACGTGATAGAATATACGGGTAAAAAAATCACATGTATGGGAAGTATCCATAATAAAAATGTTTTCCAAGATTTTATTTTACAACTTTGTAGGCGTGGTTTATATCTAGGAGTATACCAAACCAAATTACAGCTTTGTAATTCCTAGGATCTTTGAGTAAAACCTTGAATGAACGGACGGACATGACGAAACAACAAAAAACTTCGAAATCCTTTTTTTATAGAATAAGGGTGATAAACGAGCACACAGTCCACCTGATATTAAGTGGATGCTGTGGCTCATAGACATCTTTATATAAAATTCAGATGCGTTGCCGCCCCTGAGGACTAAGATGTAATGCCACGTTTCCTGTAAAAAGGATCACCGGTTCTCTACACTCACCATACGAAACACAGTGGCATAGAGCTGCTATTTTACGCTGGTATTCTGTAAGAGCGTGGTCCTTCTCCGATCGAGCCGACCCATTTGTGCTACAACCATAATATAGCTGCAGTATGACTTTACATTAAGAATACCTTATAAAGAAACGAATAATGAATAATAAAGAAACATTTAAAAAATCCAAACGGCGAGCGATATTGATTTTGAGAGGATATTATTATTTCCTATCGAGGTAAGCAAAACGGAAACGTTTGATATATGCTACTAATATTGGAGGAAAACGATAAAACAAAGTGCTTTAATACCTGTTGAAAAAGCAAATCTTCCAACGTTTTATTTATCGAATAAAAACTAATACTACTAAAACTAATACATTACATTGACATGAAAACCATTTATGACCAACCTCTAGTGATATCACATGTTTCGAAGTATTCAGTTACATAACACGTAACATCCGTATTGTCATATGACTAACGAATATCCTTCAACGTGCGCACAATAGAATGAGGTGATCTTTTTACCCACCAGTAGTAAGCTATTGTATGTTAGGTACATTTTCAAAATAGGCCGTAATGAAACAACCTTGGTCGTAATGAACTCTACGCTATAATTCATGTTCATCGAAAACTAAAAAAAAGAGTATATCATGCAAATAAACTCCGAGCACAGCCTTCTCCATAGCTCGCTCTATACTTTGAATAAATAATACACCAAAAAAAAAAAGGATCATCTTATTCTACTGAAACTAGTTTCGCAAATATAATATCAATAAATATTCGATGCTTCCGCAAGTAATCGAGCTCAGAGTTAGTTTTACAAGTCGAAGCAGCCAGACGAGGCCACGAACGATCTGTGTGTCGGAAAATTTGGATTATCTCAAATTTCCTATTTCACTTGGAAACTTAAAACATTAGCCAGACAGATCTGTATAAGTAAAAACATATCATCGGAACAAAATTTTACTGGAAAAGGAAAGAGAATTATGAATGAGACCAAAATGTGCAACGGTAATAACGAGTAACAAGTAATAATCTTAGCGACAGATAGCAAAGCTATCGTTTGTCTTCATCACATAAAGAGTAAATTATTCTGATCACAATATATAACATACAATACAAGAATACAATAGACAAGGCTGCAATAAATCCTATTAAAGCATTCAACAGGAACTCAAATACCCAAAGCTTTTGTGAACAATCCCTTTAGAATGTGTAATGTTCAACTTAAATATGATATACTCGTATTTGTGGTTATGAAGCAACGCTCCTTATTGAAACAATTTATATTTGTATATGTGTGAAAAATATATATCGTGGGAAATATCCAAGCAACGTTATTAATAGGAGAGCAGTGAGCGTGTCACTAATATCGCAATACTAGAATCAGAAGTTAGGTAACTGATTACTGATTACTTGATTTAATTATCAATGCAGTTGCCGAATATAGTATAGATGGACATAGATGGATTTAACTTTCGATAAACAATTATGGACACTCTAACACATTAAACGGAAGTTTATTGACCAAATTAGCAGTATATTAAAGATGACACAAATTAAAAGAATCCTAAACTGACGAGCATTTATGCTAGAAGTATATGTGGATGTAAAACAAGCGAGAAAAGTGCGTCAAGAGCGTGGCAAGTAGATACGTCGCTGCCTGCCCCCTCTGGTCGCCAGTCGTTAAATGTTATGTATTTATGTTATTTAATTTTATTTCTTTTTATTATAATAAATTTTACAAATGTCTTTAAAAGAATAATCAATCAATAATAGCAAATTATACTAAACAAATAATTGGCTTTATACTTTACATAAATAAATTTACTGTCAGATATTTAAATATATTTAGAAAAAACCTTACTTCACAATGAAACGTGATAAAGCTATGTTGCAGCTATAATGTTAGCGCTAACTGGTCGGCTCGACCGGGGAAGTACCACGCTCTCAAAGAGTACCAGCTTAAAATAGCAAATTGAAAGAAATAACGAATTAACGCATAGGCACTAGAAATTTGAGAAGCAAATTAAAAAATATTCAATCAATCTCACCTCCAACAGCTATGCAGGTTAAATTCACTTCTGCTCCTTCGTCGTAAGGTCCAAGTATATTCCCGTGCACTTTATCATTGCCTTCACCTATATTAATCAGTTGATCTGGTGGAACTAAAATATTTAACCATAATTAAATTTTTATATGTATATATATATATATATATATATATATATATATATATATATATACGTATAGATCGTCTAATTTAAAAATATACGCGCTTATTTTGTATTATTATAAAGTTTAAAAAATCTAACCCTGCTCACCCCATCTATTCTGGTTCAGTAGATTTTAGCATTTTTATTATTTATCCGCCATGCGAAGCCTTTCACTACCGTGCCGTGACAGCAAGCGTTATAGTAAGAATATGCCATGTTTTTGTCTCTTCTTTTATCTTTTAATTAATTTAAGTTAGACGATCTCTAAATTTATTTATTCTAATATTATATTCATTGCACGGATTTTATTAGGAGATTTAGAATATTTATACTGGATATCACTTTTTCGCTTTTGAAACATTGTACAAACAAAATAACACAACCCTGTGGTTCACGTTAAGTCTATAATTAGAATCCGTATTCATACATATAGAAATACTTTACTTCAGAAAACCCGAGCATTAAAAATATAAATTAAAATTAAAGAAATTTTCATTTGCAAAATGTAGGCGGTTTTATTACCTCTGGCATTGCGCGGGGGAATAAAAGTATTGCCAAAGACGCCGCTTCAGGTAATAAAACCACATACAACTTGCAAATGAAATTTTTTTAATTTTAATTTATATTTTTATTGGTCGAGTTTTCTGAAAGTTAAGTAATTTCTATAGATTTCGATACTGATCCTGATAAAGCACTTAGCGGGAACCACACGGTCCTTTTTTTACTTTGATTTTATTGTGGGTACAAACCTATAATAAAACCAAGTAACGACATCTAAAAATATAACAGATATTTTAAAAAACGCAAATTTCTGTTTTATAAATTGTACTAAAAGCAAAAGTATAATACAAAATTTAAAAATATAGTCTCATAATGAGTCAAAAGCGTAAGGGTTTCTTTTTACCTATTATATAAGGGTTTCTTTTTACCTATAATATAAACCAGTACTTGACTACCGGCTCATTCGATCGTAAGTGGCGATACAGCCGAAGACGGTAAAGCGCACTGACTTAGCTCAAAAGACTATTCACGTTGCCTTGAAGACTACTGTATTGCAATCGGATGAAAGGACAAATGCTGGCAAGTTACTATAAATCTTTGTTAAACATAATAATGGTTAAAAATCTCACCATTAAATTAATAAAGCGTTTTGAGACAAAAGCTTTAAAGATTTAGAGTAGAGGAAAGACTTACTACTAAAATAACATTTATTAGGATTATAATAATTCGTGCACCATATTAAAGTATACGAAACTAAAAAACGAATATAGTAATGGTAAATTTATGAAATATTAAGACACAAAAAGTACCTACTAAGCACTGTGAGGTTGAGTCTTGTGTTCTTAGTCGGAGATTTTATGAAGTCTACCCGACATCTGTACTGGCCGCTGTCTTCTGGCCTGTTGAAAACGAAGATAATAAAACCTTTTCTGATTTTTTTAATAACTGTACAACGTAATACATAATTGTGAATTGTTCCTTTTTGAATAAAACAGCCCTGGGTATGGTTTTTGTTGATTCTTCCCAGAACAGATATTTTATAACCAGTGGAACATTAAACTTAAAATGATTTTACAAGGAGTATTATTTATTTTATTAGATTAAGAAAAATTCTTGATTTATTTCTATTGAGAATGTACGTTTATATAATATGTAAACATATTTTATACTATGCACATTCATATGCCATTCCTTGATGTTCAGCAGTGGACTTGGTAAAACACGCACAAAAGCCTTATCACTCTTGCCTGAAATACATATTAAAATATGTATTAAAATAATATGTAATAAAATGTTAGTAATGTCACTATTATCGAGCGTGCAAGGTAACGGGACTTTCAGCGTGCATAAAATCAGACGATTGTCTATTAGTGTCCTCGTCACGACCACTCGAGTTGTATAGCGCTTGGTCCACCACACCGGACCCTATGGTAAACCCTTACCACACATAACTTAGTACCAGCCTACGCCTTGAAATAACAAAATTAATCGCTTCGTTAAAAACACGTAAGCGGTGTAATTTTAATATATCAGACTCATTTAATCACAACCAACTATGACTTAAAAAATAACAAAAAATCTCTGTCAGAAATTATATCAAATCATTTTAAAATGCTACGTGAACAATATAATTATAATGTTTACGCTTATACATAATAAAATCAAAATGTTGGTCAAGACTAGAGCGTTCCAAAACCAATCCATTATATTGTAGGCATTGAACTAATCAATCAAAAGTATTTAAAAAAAAAAGTAAAAATATTTCAGTAAATAAAGAAAAAGATTTTAATATTAAATAAAGTACAAATAATAATAAAATCGTTATTTTTTACCTCAGTTTGTTTAACACCAGAACAGCGGGGGTCGTATTCGTCCGAAAAGTTGCTCGATTACCCAGGGTGGAAGGATCGGACCATTGAGACGTTATGCCCTCTCGTGCGTCTAATCTGTCCGCAATAAATTTAGCTTTGGTTTTTCATGAACATAAATAAACGAAATTGAATTAAATAACACATTTATAAAGGTTCAGAGCAGAATCCTAAACTAAAGAAATTTATTTCTTACGATAGAAAATAATATCGGGTCTTACACTACTCAGATACGCTACGATAACTGTATCTAGGAGCATATCTTTCAATATTGCTCCCTATGAAATTCAATGCAATAACACACACCGTGCAGATAATTTATATATTTATATACTACATATGTGAACGGAGTAGAAGACTGTATGCACTGATATTTTACAAGAAATAAAAACAAAATTTTTAATCTATAACATCATATATATATATATATATATATATATATATATATATATATATATATATATATATATATATATATATATATATATATATATATATATATATATGTGTTGTAATCTGCAGATACAAATTTGGCATAGGATTTTACCAGCAGGATTCGGAGGATCTTTAAAAATTCGATTAAATTCGCCTAGGTTCTTTTTAAGCTTTTTTTAACGTTCTATTCAAATTCTGCAACACTTGCATCATAACTAAAATCTGAATCCTATTCTGACGAGCTGTCTAGCAAATCTACGCCAACTCATTTTAAGTAACACTCTGTCTGTCTCTCTGTCACAAACTATCCGCTTAAAAAACATGTCTAGTAAGCTAGAAGAATTTCGAGTGTATGTCTCATTTCGTATATTATCGTATCCGCGTAGTGTATGATACTTTCACACATTTAAGTTTTATACTCAGATAATATATTATCGTATCTGCGTAGTTTATGGCTCGCTTAATATAGTGTTCAAATATGGACATAGGTAATTTTCAAGGTCAAATTAGACATCCATCAAATAATAATAGAGTAAAATACAAAATTTACATCTCCAATAAAGTGGTAAATATCCGCTGACTGTATGATTGTTCGATAGTGGAAAAATTGAGGAAGAAATAAATCATATTATTCTTGCGCACACTCTTCGTAATAATATAATAGAATACCGAAAAATTTTCAAGATTCAAATTCACATGTCACAAGATATACGTGAAATATTTTTTTGAAGATTTTATAATAAAATGTTTGCCTCTGTCGACAAATTTTTATCTGAATTTCCACTTTCGAACTAGCAAACCCTTGTTTACACATTCTATTCACTTGTCAGCCTCCCTCTTTACATTTACATCCCTTGTTTGTACGCCTCTTATCACAATATTACCATATCCCTTCTCAGCCATAAAAACTGTGAGTCTGTTATTATCTCTAATGATTCAGGTATGAATTTTTGACAGCTCACCACTCTAATAACATAAGTATGCCATGAGTGATATGAAAACTAATAAACAACAACTACTATAATCAAAATGTATTTAGTTTTACATTCTTCAGATCTCCAATACAAACTTAAAAAGTAGATAGGTGATAGAGCTACTCATTGATTTATATAACCCTAGATCAGTAATAACCGCGCCAAAGCGTTGCCACTGCACACATGGCCACAGCCATATGCCTAGCTAACGTGAGTTCATTGTTCAATGTGACGCCGACAGAGTTGAGCCGCGACAAAAATGGGTAAATGTGTAGTGAAAGAATGCTATTCAAGGTCACAAAAACGTAATAAATCAAGCGGCATCACTTTCAACACATAATTTTTAGTTCCTGTTTTCATATAAACGTAAAAAACCTCAAATAATTAAATAAAATTATCGAATATTGCCATTTAGGTTCAATGTTGCCACTTTTCCGTATTTGTGATTATCCTACATTAATGGGAGACTATATAATTAATGGAGTAAGTTAATTTGTTACCTCTGATTTTAAATATTTTGGAAATTATAATAAAACTACGTTTTAACTTTCGTACAAAATAATTAATTATTCTTATTTTAGTTTATTCATGAATTATCTATAAAATATATTTTATTACCTATTTTATATTAATAATTTTATATTATTTATAATTTCATATAAATTTTATATTAATTACATTTTATTAGATACCTATTTTATATTGTTTGATTTATTAGAACCATAAAAATACGTTTTATTTCATCATTATGTTTACTTCTATTCATCTGATAAGCTTTGTATCCCTTTTTTTCTAAGGGGACGTAATAAAGATTTTAAAATAAAATATACTTTTTTAATATAAAAACAATTAACTCCAGCTTAAAAAAAACTCATATTTATTTTGTATTATAGGTAAAATTTCATATAGTAAGCCACACCAACCCGCCATTGCATGTTTGTGCGTCTATCTTTATCTAATCTTACGACGACGATATGGTTTTCACAACTTGTGTAAGTGAGATAGATATATGTTTACATAAAATTGTTATTAGTTTCAAAGCTACGTCATCGCGTTTGGATAGTGGTTATACTTTTTTCGACGCGCGGTAATGTGGTTTGCTCCTCTAGTGTTGTATAACTCAATGGAGCTACTTAACTATTTATATGTTTCTACTTCATAATTTTCGTTTTGGGCTGTGTGGTGGTGGCTTAAGATATCACCTCATTTTCTCTGTGGATGTCGACGTAATTGTAGACAGAAAGATCCTATAGGTTCCGATAGATGGCCTAACAGATAGATGGAACCATCTCATTTACGCCAGACGTGAAAAACCAGACCGGCAACAAGAAACATGCTCAAAGATGCGAGACGTCCGCTATATGATGTTTTTATAGATAAAAAACTAGCACAATCCACCTGATCGTAAGAAGATGCTGTGGCTTTATAGACATTTACATTTATCCTCAATTAAGTATCAAAATACAGATGCATTGTCACTCTTGGGGGGCTAAGATGGAATGCCCCGTTTCCAGTAAATAGGGTCTCCGGTTCTTTACATTCACCATACTAAACACTACAGCATTAAGCTACTATTTTATATACGACGTGTACACGATGCTTAAACGTTGGTTTTTATAGGGCTTAAAATAATAAAGATTAGATCACTAAATATTTTCTATCTCATCAACACTTTCTATTCGATTGTCTTTGTTATGTCGCACATCTTTTTATTATTTCAATATGTTTTCCTTATATTTAAAATGAATTATAATCCAACTTACGAATATATTGGTGTTTCGTGGCCTTGCTTATACCATATAACGAGGCCAACTTTGTCTGCAGAGAGAGCTGGACTCACGTCGCAAGGCAACTCCACTCGCCCGCCCGTCGGCCCTTGTACCGACTCTACGTCTACTGCAGAATAAAATTAATCGATTAATATTTATTATTTAATTAAAAGAAATAATATTAAAAAAGTGGAAAATTGATATTGATGTAATTAAAAAGAGCCTATAATATGTAGATAATAATAGTCATTATCTATGAAATTGCGGTTTTTTTATGAAATAAGTTTTTTTAAGCTATTGCATAGCTTCTATCGCGGGCCTTGAGCGCGGGGATCGAATCCAGAAATTCCGTAAAAAAAAAAAACCTCACGCTCACCACTCCGACGGGCACGGAGGTGTGGCGTTGAAGGCCGTGCATCGTCTAACGTCGTTTCAGTTCGACAGACTTCGGCACTCGGCAGACTTCGGCACGGTGTTTGTGTGCGTGCGACTAGACGTATGCGTGTACACTAGCTGCTAACTCAATGATAAAAATTCCTGAATAACCTACATGTATTGTAAGATATTAAAAATATTTTAAACAATATTAACTTCTCATTTATTCAATAAGAGAAAAAAAAATTGTTTTCTTATCGGTCACCACGCTCAAAAAGTGTAACTTGATTTAATATCAAAGACTTAACTGCATAAATAAAATAAATAAATAATTATAATTGCATAAGTTGATAAAAAATGCTATGCAATAGCTTTACCGCGGCAGTCACCGAGTGCCACAGGTATTTTTAATTATTGGGTGCGTTTGGCAGAAAAAAGCGCTAGCAAGCGCTTGTAAGCAAAATGGCGATCGTAAGCGGTAAGCGCTGTCAAATCGTAAGTAGCTATTTTCCTCCAGGACACGATGTTAGTTTTAACCGGGGAATCTAACCTAATTTAAATATATGTTTGTAAAGTATTCATATTAAAAACTTACCAATCATGAGTTTTTAATAGCATGTATATGTTTATTCATGTCATTGTATTACTTAAAACTAATATTGCACAAAACAACTTATAAACTCTACTTCAAAACAAACAAATTAAATAAGCAAAATGGCGGATTGTGTCAGCGCTACTGAAGTAGCAATCGTGTCCTGGCCGAAAACTATTTTAGCGCTTATAAGCGCTTGCTAGCGCTTTTTTCTGCCAAACGCACCCATTGACTTATTTTTTACTCATGTGCCACTACTAGCACAATTTAGCCCTTACAGTTGTGAAACATCTTTGATGTCCGGCAATACCACCGCCCACGTAGGTATTGTACACGCTGGGTTGTCACGAAATAGCATATTTCATTACGAGTGCGGAAAGCCTGTCATTGCAAAGAGTTCCGACAAATGTCTACCGAGCCGAGGCGCAGCCGAAGGTGAAGGTTGACAGTCGGAACAAGTTGCAATGACGGTTCTGCACGTGTACTGAACAACTGTTTTTAATACATTTGCGAAAAAATGAAGCAATTTAATAAAATAATAAAAACAATAAACTCAACTAACTTGGGTATTCATTTATATACACGTAGTTCCTTATTTCCAGCATACTTTTTATCATCGAACACCTCGACCATAACGTAGTTTTTAATTTTGCTGAGAGTTCGGATAAGTTTGCCAACATAACATTTTCTGAAAAACTATTTGCTTTTTTCTCTTGTCTCCAAGCAATTAATTCGTCGTATATAAATATGTAGCGACTTTTTGACTTTTCCGGTAGAATGTTCTCCGAAGCATTTTGCGCAATTATACTGAGTTCCGGTGGTGTTAATTCAAATAAAATATCGTCGAAATTACTCATTTTGTGCAACAAATAACTAAACTCGCAAAGAACATTTTTGGAAAATGGCGCCAACCGTAAAAGAATATAAGCAGAGATTTTTTGTTTTCTTCACCCATTCTGGGTAGACAAAAGGAACCATGCCCATACAGCCAAGTCTTCAGTAGATATTTTTTATTGATATGGAATGAAAATGAAATTTATTGAGATGAAATGAAACCTAACCAAACTCTTTCGATAAAATCATTAAATCCGATATTGAAACAAATTAGTTGCTTTTTTTTTTAGAAATATTTGCATGAATCATAAAAACTTCTATGAATTTTTTTTAGTAAAAACTTCGTGGTTGGTTTTTTCAATTTTAATAGACATTATTTTGACAGTTGGGAATGAATGAGTATGACATATATAACAGAATGCACGAGTTCGGAAAAGGTAAAGAAAAAGCTCGAGTACCTATGTTATAGCCAAGGTAATAGCCCACCCCGAACGTTATATACGTCCCTGCAAAACGCCACTTTTTTGAGCAACTGTATTAAAAATAATTTTGGATATTATAATACTCATTATCATTTATTAACATTATGTACATACTTATAATTTAGAAAAAAAATGTTTATCGAATAAGATCATTTTTTATTACTACTAGAAAAAACACATTTACAACATTGCCTTATATTGCATTGCCAAATATTTTTCTGACACTTTATTTCCATAGATGATTTCAGTTTGCGATTGTTAAATTTAATTATGTAGTGTATTCGCATTCGGATAATCAATTTTATTGCATGGCCGTCGTTTTAATTCAATTTTTCTTAGTAACTGATATAACTATAAGAATAATTGATAATTATAGACATTTTATTTTTCGATAACTGCACTCAAAATTTGTTAAATAATTACTATAAAACACTCTCACCCATTTGTGATATAAAGATGAGTCTTTCATGAGTTAAGGCATAACTGTGGCTCGATGACAGTTCCCAAAGCCTATTTAATTAAAAGTAAAGATTTATCTTTGAGTGGACAAATTAACGTTAGTTTACTACCAAACGTATTATATTAAAACATGTGATATGTTTTAATATGGTATTGTTAATGATTTATTAATTTATCTAATATTTTTTTCGTTTTAATCAATTGACGCCTAAATAACGCCTTTGGTTGTACCGACATGTTTCTTAATATTACCGAAACCTATTGTGTATGCAAACCAATATAAAGTTGTTTTGCAAACACAAAGGCATGCCCTGTCAAAGACCGTCCCTTCGCCGGTGGAACGAATGATCGGTTTCGTAAGAGGTAGGTACAAATGTGGATATAAAGGCACAACCATTAACTCACAAGGCCTGTCATAAAAATACTTTTTTTTACTTTTCAACGTCCAGTCGACCACGAAAAATATTTATTTAAAAAGTTAAATAAACGCGATAAATTCCGTAAAAACTAGTATTATTTCAACCAAAAATATTATTAAGAATATAATATAATATTAATGTAATATTAAAGAAAGTAAGTAAAGAAGCTAGAAAGGTACTCGAGTGGAAGCCTCGTACTGGCAAGTGCAGTGTTGGGCAACCCTCTGCTAGATGGTGTAATGACCAGATGAAACACGTAGGTGGTTCAGGACCGTACTTTATGGCCGTCAATGTAAGCAGTCCAACTTCACCATTGCCTGTAGATGACTAGTTTACGTTGAGACGGGCTGTCGTAACTAAAATTCGATTTGGAAGACATTATTATTATCAAAATGCAGATGTGTCGTCACCTCTGAGTACTAAGATGGATGCTTCGTTTCCAGTAGAAAGGGTCTTCCGTTATTTATACTCACCATATGAAACACTGCAGCATCGAGCTGATATTTTACATTGATATTCTGTGAGAGCGTGGTCCGTCCCCAGTCGTCGATTCGAACAGGGAAGGATCATTCGTGATACAACTATAATATAGCTACAGCGTGGCTCTATCATGATATATTATATTAGGTACAGCGAGTTAGGTAGAGACATAGAAATATAAACAACAGGAGAAGTGGCAAGGGGGCGTGTTTGTGTCCGCGCGCTATGATCAAAATGCTCAGCTTCTATACAAATGGCCGTCCATGCGAATTAGTGCGCTGTCGACCGTCATCGTGAAATATTATCAGAATACCATGTTATTCAGTGGTTTCTTGTAAAACCGAAGCTAAAACAAAAACTTTGTTAATCATGAAATCACTTATCATACCTAAGTAAAAGTATTTACTTATATTTATCTTTAAAATCATATTAAACAGCAAATCGTAAAATATTTCTTGCTCTTACTACGTTATTTTTGATTTCAAATATCACAGTCATTGTAATATTTTTGTAGTAAATACATTGCTCCATAACCAGTACCTTAGTATGACGCCAAGTGACAAAACAAGCAATGTAAATATCACAAAATGATACTTTATTTATGCAGATATATGGCGTAGTACGGCCGCTGTATCTTGCGACGAGCTAGTTATGTGCTTGTGTAGATCCACTATCGACAATAATGTGGATTGGTGAATTGTTATTATAGTTTATTCTCCAATTTGTCAACCGTTTCAACCCGATAGGAAGACCGACGTGACACAATGTTTTTTACTTATTTTAATTATTTTACAGCAACTATAGTTCGGCCGTTCAGAGAATGCGTTCCTGACACCTATCAGTTAGTCACGACTAGTGATGGGCACAACATAACACTGAGTTCGTTGCCGTTCCTCCAAAATGAACCGCCGCGTTATTTTTAAGATTATTTTCGTTTTAAATTGACGGAATCATTTAAAATTTATATTTTAGTAATTTAAGTGGAAACCAAAAAAAAGGTAATTATAATATAATAAAATTGTTTTATTTATTCTTTGTTACAAAGTTACAATCTGTATTTCTATGCAATAAAGTACATTGAATTGAATATGCGTACAGAATATTAATCAGACTCCGATTCGCTTGAGGAGGTGGTGTCTTTCTAATCTCTAATCTCTCTATCATCTTCGCCTACATATGTAATTATATTATTATCAATAACAGAATCAATCCTGAAATCTCGGTCAAAATGTTCCACAATCAGGTTTTTAGTCTTCTTGTTGTTTTAGTCCTTTGCCGAGTCATCTCTTGTGATTTCCCCCCATAACGCCATTTGGGGTTACCATTTTCAACCTAAATATAAATGCTACTTTCTTTCGCGCGTTCGGTTTGGTCGTAGTTTAATTTTTATATTTAATAAAAGTTATCTTATAGTCCATTATTTTCAAATTCTTAAAAAGAAAAACAAAACGTATTATTTTATAAAGTATAACTGTATAAGAACAGA